TTTTAATTTTCCATCATTAATATAACGGTAAGGATCTTTATCACAATATTTAGATATTTCTTTAAATACATAAAAAATATATTCCTTATTAGAATAAGATTGACGAAATTTAATTCGTGCTTTTGATTTTATCTTATTATGTATTACAGCTCAACCGTGTGATAAAAGTAAACCAATAAATATACTATATTCATGTGGAGATATTACGGATTTGACGTTAATTTCTTTTATGTCTTTATTGTCAATTTTTGCAATATTTTTTTCTTTTATATTATACAGTATTAATTCAGTACCCTCATAGCGCGCAAATTTAGAAAAAAGACAAGTTTGTTTAATATTAAACAAATTTAAAGGAACTAAGGTTTTTTGTTCATTTGATGGAAAGTGAAATGTAGAATATGGTCTTTTGTTTGTAAGTAAAGAAGACGATAAAGAAATACTTTTATGTTTTTTTATTAATTTATATTGCATACTAGGTACAATAAAAGGATTAATAGACTTTAACAATTCTAAAGAGCTTGAACTTATATATATTCTAGGTTTACCACCTACTATATTAAGTGAACATTTAAGTCCATATTTTATAATTAGAACATTAATTAATAAAACTACTTCTTTAACTGAAAAACTATCAGTACTAATTCTTAAACCACTAGTTCTTGCCGAACCGTCACCCATTATCATATGTGCTAAAGCCACAGGAGTCAGTAAATAATAAATATTAGCAAGTATAATTTTTTTTTTATTTAAATAAAATAAATCATAAATTTCAACAAGACAAGGTAAACTACGAGTGGCAAAACTTACCGAATTTACTGCCGTATTTTTTCTAGTTTTATGTTTATATTTAGGTAAACTATAGCAATAATGAGATAAATCTCAATAAACAGATCAAACATAAGAAGATTGAGAAGAAGTTTGTTCGAAACCTAAACGAGGATATTTATTATTAACACTAACATAATTACGATTATTATTAGCATCAGAAACACCTCTTAAGAAAACCTCCCCTATACTGGCTTCTTTTTTGGTTTTACTTATTTTTACATAAGTATGAAAAGATCTTTTATTTTGGGGTATTATACTGGAATTTATTCCTTTTGGGTTAATTATTCCATATGTATTATCTAACGTAATATAAGTTCGACCAGTATTCATATTAGATTTTATTGCTCTAATTTTAGCTAACCCCTCTTCAGTTAAGTGTTCTTTATTTTGCATAAGTTTAGTTATTTCAATGAAATCTTGAAGGTCTAATCTTTTGGACCCATGTAAAGGATGTTTATTTAAAAACGGAATAAGTATATTTTGTATATCTGATAGCTTAGTTATCACAAAATTAACTCTAGCATTTTCTGGTCTTTCTACTATATGGCCACAACCTAATCCTTCTTGGATAAATTTAAATAGCAGTTTATCTCTTATATGTTGAGTTAAATTAAAGTCTAATTGAACTGCAAATCCTATTTTTCTACTAGCCTGTGTAATCTTTACGTAAAAACAACCTTCTGCTTCTATGAGTCCTGAAAGTAAAAATAAGTCTAAAGTACTTGTTAACATAAATTTAGGTCTTTCTACGGGAACGATATCAGAAAATTTTTGCTTTAAATCTTCATTTAAACCTAAATTCATTGAATATTTTAAACTTAATCTTTTTTTTAACCCTTCTATTGTTAAATGTTCTTTATCAATCATTAAATCAACAAATTTTTTTAATAATTCAAAATCTGATCTTTTCTGTGTCAATAAAGGATATTTTTCAAAACGGGGTATAATTATTTTATTAAAATCTTCTATAGAACTCACAGTATAAATAACACTTTGTTTATTTATAGAAATTGCTCCTATCTCTGAAAAATAGGATTTAATTTGTTTTAGTAATACTCTATCTTTATCATGTAATTTAATTTGGAATACAGGTCTTACTCTTAAACCTATTTTTAGTTTAGGATTTTGAAGAACACTAACTGAAAATGTACTTTCGCCATCTGAAAACCCGGTTACATATTTAGGGTGCAGCCCTATATATTGAGAAATGGATCTAGACTGAATTAACGGTTTGAATAAATTAGTTTTTCTTTTCCCTACCATAAGATTAGGAATTAAGTATGAATTAGTGAGCTTGCCGGATAATCACCCATCAGAGAGTAATAATCCTACTATAATCCCACGTTGTTTAATAGGAAGTTTAATCATATATAACTCAGTAAAAGATAATTTTTGTGTTGTAAAACCTGAATATAAAACTTCTCCCCAAACAACTAAATCTTTACTTTCGCTAATTTGTATAGAACTTTTTTTTCTTGCAAAAATTGTAATAAATGAATTTTTTAATTTAATTGGATAAAACAATTTAATACTTTGTGGGTTTAAAGTAAATAGACCCGCTAAATAATAACCAAAATCATTATTGTTATTTGTGTATAATCTAAAACTGTTAATATTTTCTTTATATTTAATTAAAGCTTGTTCTACATCTTCACTAGGAATAATTTTAGCAATATATATATTATAAATACGCAGCATGATACCAGTTAAAAATATTATACCCTCAGCAGCAACATCTCTAAATCAGAAAGCCATAGAAGCAACTAATGATAATAATCCTAATAAAAAAAGATAACCTCCATTAGAAAAACCATGCATTGTTAATACCATAATTTTTATCTACTAGTCAAAGTCTCATAGTTGTAATTTAATATATAACTAAATTACACTTCAAAAAAGTAGGAATATTAATTAAATATCCACTTAAGGTAGATAATCCTCTTATTCACATAAGAGATAGGATCATATCTTATTTTTTTAGTTTGTAAAATCCTTGTAAATGATCCCATATAAATAAAGTTCTTTTATTATTCATGCCGTTTTTAATATTAACCACTTTATCAAAAAAATCGGAATCATATTTAGTACCTTTAGTTGAACGAACAGATGCTGCAGCTATTTTTTTAAACTCTAAAACTTTTAATCAATCTTTATAGTTTAAATATTTGCTACTAAATAATGGATACTTATTTAAATAATTTTCTAATTTTATATTACTAGCTAAAGTTACAGTTCTAATTCTATATTGAGGAAATTTTAAGTTAACTAAAACTTCTTTAAATGAACTATCAATAAAATTAGCTATATCCCACATAAAATCATAATTACTTAACCCATTATTGTATGTCTTACTTTGACATATTTCAAATCTACATTCTACAATAGGATACTTATTTCTTGCATTTAGAGCTGTAGCTCTAACTTGAAAAGATCCATCACCATCTATAAAACCAGCTAACCAAGAATTATAATCTAAAGACATTGAACTTAAAGGCAATTTTATAAAACTATGTGAAAAATTTATTATCTCTCCTTTAGATTCTTTAGAATTTTGCGTCAAGTTTAGCCAATCTATTAAATCATATAAGGCTTTTATTTTAGGTGTTCTCATTTTTCCATTTATCAACGACACTATTAATATTATACTTTTACTATTAAAAGTAAGAACATAAGCGTTAACTCCTTTTTTTTTTAGATAAGGATCCACACCCTAAAGTGCTTTGAATCATTAAAGCCAAAGACATATCGCGAGAATAAAAAATTATTTATATGGACGGATAATTTAATTTACCTTTTGGGGATCTTTCCGTTTTTGGAACTATTATTGTACCATCAGCTTCTATCAAACCAGTTAAATAATACGCTAATTTATGATTATTATAATTTTCTGGTAATTTATCCGATGAATGGCTTTTTATAATAAGGATGTTACATCAAAAAAACTCAAGCGTATAATCTCCGAATATCCCTAAAAAAATTAAATTTAAAAGGTTTACTGCTGATTGTATTATTTCCTTAAATAATATGTTTCAGCAAATAGCTTGATTTAAATCCGGCATATAGTATAGCACACCGGATGTAGTAAGAGTTAGCAACGAAATGCTAGTAAATAATGGCCAAGGAGATGGAGAAACTAAATGAAAAGGATGGGCTTGAAAATTACTTCTTGTTATATTTGTCATCTTTTTAAAAATTTTTTTTACTAAAGACAAAGATTTAAATAAATAATAAAAGGCAAATTTAAGGGAATTCTGATTGTAATTTTCTATTGCTTTAATTGCCTATCATTATTATCGAAAGTTAGTCAACCGCCGCATCGCGGCGGTTGACCTAGCGAGGCCTTTGGTGGCATAAATATAATCTTAAGCTAAAATATAATGAATTGCAGCTTACAAAAATCATAAAATTTTTATTAAAGACAATGTATATACAAAATTAATTTTTTTTTTATAAAAAATCTTATTAACAACATTGTTTAAAAAATTCTAATAAACTTTAAAATTTTATAAATTTTAACTTTACAATAGAATAATTTTGTTGTTTTAAATATTTTTAATATAACCAAAATTAATTTTATTAAACCTTTAAAAGGCAATTATCTAAAAATCGTTAGTGTGCCTCACTGCTTTGTATAATTATAGTGTACGTAGCACGATGCCGATATACACAATAATTTACTAAATTATATGCATTATTATTTTATTGACTTGTATTGTGAACTCCCCACCCACTCCCTATTAATATTTCATTATCCAGTTAAATTTTATTTTTAATTTTTACTCAAAATATTAATAATATATTTTTAAAATATCATATAATAAAATTACCATTAACTTTATTAATAAAAATATATAAAACTTTTTTGTTTATATTATAATTTTTTCAGTAATAGGTTAGATATAAATTTTAATAAATTAATTTTTTTTTTTGGTTAGCCATTAAAGAGCTAAGCCAGCTACGAAGTAGTTGTTAACACATAGCACCTTTCTTAGATGACAATTAAAATTGAATAATTATATTAATAATTTATTCTTTTTATCAAACAAATTTTTAATTAATAATTTAAATAACTTAATAATTTAGTATTAAGCTGTCTAATAGCCTTTTACAGCATAGAAGTGCATTATGTGCAGTACGATATTTAATCTTTAAAACCATGAGCTAATTTATTAATCACGTTATCTGATTTGAACAGATAATCCTTCCATCCGAAGTGGAATGCTTTACCATTAAGCTAAACGTGAGAATTAGAATAACTAAATAATTAACTAAATTTAATTTATAATATTTTTTGTAATTCAAATATGCACTGAAATAATTAATAATTAAACTTTTATTACATTAAAATATTTGTTATTTTTTTAATAAACGCAATATCTATATAAAAAAATTTTTTTATTTTCTAGAAAAATAATTAATATATAATATTTAGTTATAACCTGTCCGTCACATAGGTAGTGACCAAATTAGACATTAAATATTTTCTATATAGCGAAAGTTTTTACTCCTGTTAGGCTGTTAATATCGACAATTATATATGAATTTACTAGTTTTAAATAAAAATATATTATAAATTGGTTTTTATATTTGATATAATTACTTACAATAAATTAATTTAGCTGTTTTTCGGATTAAACTGTTTACAAGCAAATAACATCACATATTATATTACAATCCGTAGCGCCTTGTTTTTTATAAAATTTTTATGACATTTACACAAATAAAGTCAGTCCCCAACATAATAACCACTATAACATCAAAAATGTGTCGTTTAATAATTTACGAGACGCGAAAATTTTTAAAATAAAAATATACTATGATTTACGACGACATCCACCCAACTTTATAATTTGTATATATTATAGTTTTAAATTAATAATATAAACTCAAGATAAATATTTGGTAATTATCTTATAGTTATAATGAGATAGATATTTAAATTAATATTGATCATCGAACGCCTTAATGACACTAACGAACAATACAATGTGCTGATATTTATTTATACTTCATTATTTATTCTTTGATTAGTTAATTTTAATTATAAAATAAAAATCATCATTTCAATATTGAGATGAGTTAATTATAAAATTAAATATATATAAAACTTACTTTATATTTGCAATTAAAAATTTTTTTAAGGTAAACATTTTAATATTTTTATAGCAGTATTATTAACTTATGATTAATTCCGACGCGCGCTATGCGCGCAAATATTAATAATTCAAATTAACAAACTGATCTAAAAACCGGCCGCGTGCATCGTACGCAGCTGGTCAGGCGATGGCACCTGACCTAATTAGGTTATTACCCTATCCTTGTTGATAAAATTTATCTTTGGCCTTTTTTTAACCGACCGCGTAGCGGATGCCTTATATTTCAATAATATTTAACAGAAAATTATCATTAAGACAGACCAAAAATGTTTTAAAAGCAAATGGCAAAAATCTACCTTTGCCTAAAGCCCAAGCGTTACATGCTTGTTTTATTTAAATATACACGTTACACAAAAAAATTTTTATAAATCATTATATTTTTATATTTTCATTAATTGGTTTTATGAAAATATATGGAGATTTTAATATAGATCTTTCTAAAGAAACATATTCAAATGCCGACTGTTTAGTATTTAATTTTAATGCTTTTTTACCTATTTCATAACAAAAACCCACTGTAAGAATAACTAAAAAAGTAAAAATTACTGTCATTCCATATGCATAATTATGATTACTACTTATTGTGAAAGGATATATTAATATAATTTCAAGATCAAATATTAAAAATAATAATCCAAATAAAAAAAAAGAAATATTAAATTGTTGTCTATTTTGCCCAAGAAAAGAATGAAAACCACATTCAAATGAGCTTCCTTTCTCACCATAATTTTTATTAGGACCTAATAATATGTTTAAATAAAGTAATAATATATTAATAATAGGAATAAGTAATAAGTAGAATGAATTTGAAGACATTATATAATTAGTTTTAAAAATAAATTTTCACTTAATCTAGGCAATGAGAATTTTAATATAAAGAATAATATAAAAATTTTTGAAAATAATTTTAATGATATTATGATTAATAATAATATCATCTTAAATTTATAATCAAATTTTTTCTCAATTCACAATTTATTATTGCATAATTTATTAATAAATGTGAATATAAAAAAGTTGCAGAAATCATACATATAAAGATAGTTTTTATTAAATTTTTTCATACTTATGAGTTAAATAACATAATAGTGAGAATCTTCACAGAGCTTAATCAAGGATCAGGTTTAATAATAAATAGTAATATAATTAAAGTTAAACAGGATATCATTAAAGATAAGGATGTTGATAATAATCTAATTTTTTTTTTTATAATCTTAGTTTTTATTAATTCTGATTTAATATAATTTCAATTTCAAGTATTAATGGTCTCATTATAATGTTCTTTTATTATATCATTATTTTCACTAAAAAAAACTAATTTTATTACCGCTAAATAATACGAAGTACCTATTACACTTGTAATAATTGCGATTAAAACCATAAAATAAAAACCTTTATCTAAAGCAGCAGATAAAACCATCTGTTTACCAAAAAATCCTAATAGTGGGGGAATACCAGCAAATGATAATAAAGTTATAGCTAAACAAAGAGATAGCATATAATTTTTATAAAAAAATCCTTTAACTTGAATAATTAATTGTAAAGGTGAATTTAATTGATCTTTTAAAAGATAATATGAATGATAATATCAAAGATAATATCCCATACTAAGTAATATAAAAAAGAAATTAAGATTACTTAATGAATATTGCATTAAGTAAAATATAAAGGCTTGAATAGATTCTAAAGTATTAATAGTTAAAGCCAGTAGTATAAAACCTACATGACTAATAGTACTGTAGGCAAATAATCTTTTTATTCTAGTTTGTACTAATCCAACTACTGTTCCTATTATTAATGATAAGAACGAACTTATTAATAAGATATCCGTTCAAAAAAATTCAGTTTTTGCTTCGCTAGAAAAATGAACTAAATCTAACATAAATATAAAAATTGAAATTTTAGCCATAATAGCTACAAAAGTAGTCACTAAAGTAGGTAAAGAATCATATACGTCAGGAGATCAGAAATGAAACGGTGCTGAAGAAACTTTAAATAAATATCCTATAGACAATATAATAAGTGATATATCAAAAGATTCAATTGGATTAACTTCATTAGTTTTTATTCATTCTTCTTTAACTTGGTTTTCAAATAAATTTAATATTCAGTCTTGAGATTGAATTAACATTACATCAGTCGAACTATATAATGCGTAAATTCCTTCAATAAAAGTTATACCTGTGTTTACATAAAACAGAGCAGATCCTAATAATATGAAACAAGATGATAATCCACCAAGTAAAAAATAAGTTAGAGCTGCACCTATAGCCAATTCAGAATTTCTATAAATTGAAGATAAAATATATAAACCATAACTTTGTAGTTCTAAACATAAAAACATTGTAATTAAATCACAACAAGACATTAAACATACTGCTCCTACTAATATAAATAATATAATAGTAGGAAAATCAATTATACCTGATAGATCAATTATAGCATTTCTCTCAGTTTTCTCAATATTATCTGATATTTGTTTTATTAAAGGTTTTTTTAGATATTTAAAATCTCTATTATGAAATGAAATTAATTGTAAAATAAAAAAGCTTAAAATAAGTATAAAAACTACAAAGTTTTGTCTTATGGAAGTAATTAGAAATAATCCTCCATATATACCAATTCCTGTTCCTAAGCATATTATATCTAAACTATTAAAAGCTAAAAAAATTGAATATAGTAATATTAAAGAGGTTATTCTATTATAGGACAAGTATTTATCTTGTCTTGATGTTACAGCATTTATTAATAATATAAAACAAGAAGAAATTAAAATCATATAATAATATTTGGATTTTAACCATTATTATTTAAAAAAATAAGTAAAAATTTTTTACATAAATATAAACATTTAAAAATAGTCAATATAACAAATATATAAACTTATCTCAGGCCGTCGGGCTGATTCACTCCCTATAATAAATTTAAAAATAATTAAATCAATAAAAATAATTAAACCAAAACCGTAAATTTTTTATGTAGCACATTCACATGATATATAATTATTATAATTTAAATATTTATGTCAACCACCCTCTTAACGGGCGGTTGACAACCGCGTTAAAAATTAAATTTATAATATGGAAATCAGCGCCTTTTAGGCGCTGAATAAATTAATTACTAGAATATAACAATACGGTCGGTCACTCCGCACTTGTAATACAATTTTGCACGCTTTGCACGTGATATGATATTAAGGTAATAAATTAATAAACTTTTAATATATTTTTAATAAATATATTAATCTAATTCCAATGTCAGCGGCTTCGCTGACATTGAACATTATCATTATAAGATTAATAGCACTTTGGAAATCCAGCGCGCCGATCCTAAATCCTTCAGGTGCTACATATCCTTTTTAATTTTCAGATGAATTATTAAAGTTTTAATATATCAACTTAATATAGCTTTTAATTTTAAATTATCTTATGTATTATAAACTTAACGCAATTATATTTAGATTCAATGAATTGACAATTAAGTGATTAATAATTTTAATAATCATGTTTTATTTATTATATCGCCAGAAACCAATATAATATGGGCTGGTCCGGTTGTCACATGCACTTACGTTGCATGACAATAAACTTAATTTTATTTCGTTTGAGTTTTTTAAATTAAGTAAGAGCTAGCTCTTTAGAATTATAATATAATAAATTTAATATATAATTAATTATTTCCTTCCTATAACTTAATCATCAAGCACTTAAAATTATAATCTAAAAGCGAGAAAAACCATTATATAAATGGCTTTTTTATAACATCGCAACAACCTAAAATCATTACGCTATACTAATTATTATAATGGACTAATATTTTACATCAAATATTATATGTTTTAAACAGCTCATTATGAGCTGATTTATTATTTTAAATTTATCTTTAAACATTATATATTTAATGTTTTTATATTATCTACAAATATTAGCATAAAAGAAAGGTTGTGTTAATTATTAATATAAATATAAACCATCTTTTATATAAGATGTAAAAATAACCAGGCAACAGCTAATTTTAGACCGCAAGGCAAATGGTAAACCTATAATGAAATAAGTTACGGATGCCATAATTATATATTTAGTAATCAC